AGCCACACCGAAACCCTCCACTTCGGTGACGTTCCCAGTCACCGTATTGGCAGAGGCTAAATTCAAAGTCAACCAGGGCCACGATTGAGATAGCGAGTCGCAATCCAAGACACAAGGCGGGTGCTCCAAATCCCGAAAATCTACTTCTAACAGCTGTGTCAAACTCTGCTCGCGGAGCTTAATAGCCTAGTGATCATGGCGATAGCCGCCAAGCACTATGCGCCGAGTTCCCCTCCCAGATCGGCTATCTCTACCTGATGAGTCTAAACGGAGACGAAACCGTCGGTCGTGGAGTGCAGGGATGGGAGGGTTCCACACCGAAACCCTTCATGAACCTTAATCTTATTTCGTTTTAAGCTAATTGCGTGCAACTGGTCATACTCTATGTTAGCTTACTACCTAGTGACGTCGCTCACTGCCGTTATCCGTTACTTAGAAACCTGTCTAGCCGACTGGCGTTAGAATTTCGAACCTCATGCGGCTTAAAACCCGATCACAGCTGCGAGTAGTATGTATGCTGTCAGACTAGTTTCTGATGTTGCTAAGTTTCCCTTAAACGGTAAGGTTGAACTATAGTCGCAGTCCATCCCACTCTTAAACATTGCCCACTGGTTGCACAGGAGCGAACATTTTGTGTTGATGATGATAATATATATTCTCGGCAATTCCAGACATACCCTTAAAGGCAACATCGATATTTTTACAATCATAACTAGAGGAGTTGTTGCGAAGTGATCTCTCTCGATAACTCTCAGCATTTACAGTAACGCAAAAATTTGATACAAGCCAATAAAATGCCTACAGCTTCAGTAGTGAATGGTTAGATCACAGTTCAATGGAGGTTCAACGAACCAATCGGTAGATCATTCGATGCAATCAGGTGGTAAACGGCACGCGTTTTCACACCCCAAAAGCTAAAAGGTAAACATAACAAGAAAAGATGGTTGCTTTGTAGTCACAGCTTACAGTTAACTTTGGGCAACGTAAGTACAGACGGTGTCAATTATTCAAGCCAGGGCAGCGTGAGCGCTTGCACAAGCTTCTGTTGTCATAACTCCGATTGCAGCAGCGTGATAGCCATTGTTTTTCAAAGTGGCCAACAAGCGCTTCCTGAACCCTTTTGGGTTGCGTTTAGATGCGGCATAAAGAACTTTGTACGTGTCATCAGTCCGAATATTATGCCCGGTACTAATTAGGTTTTCAAGGAGGGAGCTATGGGCATTCCTAACTGCACTGTGCCATAAAGAGTCGGGTCAATGTTCCACTATCCTCTTAGACAGACACCTGGTTGTGTGTCCGAGGTACCTGGCACTATAAGCTTAGGTGAACAGATATATAACAAAAGATAAGAACGAGCCGGGAAGACTCCCGGCTTTTATTAATATACTGAACAGTCTCGGCATTAGGTAAACTCCTGCAGCTCGATATGTTTGGTCCACAGCGACGGACAAACTTTTGTTCAGTATCTCGTAAAGGATATCTTCGTCGAATAGAACCGTTGGCATTTCTTTGGTTGATCAGCAACAGCAGAGTGTTTGTGGATAGATGTCGTGGGATAACCGTTGTTTTGTAACGTTGTGAGAATGAATTTCTTCTCAACATCCAATGTTTCTTGACTGAAGAATTTTGCGGCGCGATAGGAATGACAGCGCACAAGGTTTCCCTTGTATTTCATAGGCACAAAACTAAGGAAATGCATATACTGGTCCTACGAAGAGTTGCGAAATACTTTCCTCTCAAGTAATCTGTCAGCTCGCCACCGCAGTAACACATCTAAAATGAGATTTCAGCGTCAATCTTGACGACGTATGCACATGGTTGAAATGGTCAAGTAGGGAAGGTCATCAGTCGGTTGAATGCATACGATGAACATGTCGTCTATGTATCGTCCAGAGAAATCAGGAGACGCATTGAGATTCCGAATAGGACCGCGCTTAATTTTGCGAGGAAAAAGTGGCAAGAAGTGGCTTTAAAAGGAAACCCATTGCGACGCCGTCTATTTCTCGGTAGTATTTCCTATTGAATAAGGATTGTTTATAAAAGGTGCGAAGCAGAAGTAGTTACTTTACTACTTGGACCGATGTCAATGTTGTTTTCAGTTAGGTATTCGCAAATGAAGTTAAAAGTTTCCCGCAAGGGCGCGTTTGTAAGGAGTGCTTCTACGTCGAAGGACAGCATCAGCGTGCCCCTCACATTCAGGTCTTCTACCTGTTTAACAAAAGCAAAGTAACACTCACAATGTGGACCGATAGTTCTTTACCTAGTGGTTCGAGTATGTCAACAAGCCACTTGACAACTACTTGTACAGCACAGCTGTATATGTCGCTGATCGGCCGCATTGGTACGTTAGGCTTGTGCACTTTTGGTAGCCCGTAGAGGCGGTGTGGGTTTGAGTCACATGGAGTTGGACGCTTGAGCAAGCAGCCATCAATATAGTTGTCGCGCTTGAGATCTTTCAGCAACTTGGTGAGTTTGGTTTCATCATTTGCCGTCCTACCTTTTTGCAAACTTAGTGCTAACCTACAACAATTTATTAAGTTTGGTCAACACCGTAGACGACGCGTTTATTTAATTCGTGTATTATGTCCATTCATATATTAGAAGAAGAGGAGTTGCTGCGAAGATATCTCTTTTTGATAATTCTCCTCAGGGACTTACAGTTGTGCGGACATTTGCTACCATACAATAAACAATCTAATGCTGCTGTTGAACGGCAGTTCAACTAGTCAGTCGGTAGATCAGTTGATGTAACCAGCTGGTGAAGAAACGCAAGCAGCCTACGGTGTTCATGAACCTTAACAAACTGTTGAAGGTTAACGCTGAGCTTGCAAATGTGAAGACAGTTACTCGATTCATAAACAAGTGCATACAACGCAATCAATATTCTAAACGTATTGGAAATCACTTAGACGCGGTCATGTTCGTCCGACGGCAAAATCCTTGAAACGGCATGCTTCAGGATACTGGAAGCCATTCGTTCACGAATTCCCGAGTTAGAATGACTTTGTACGCATTATCTTTGTCATGTCTTGTCTTTGGATGAAGTCGACACGGCTGAAAGCTCCTCTTTTGAAAGCTGCATGCATTATGTGCGTAACGAAGCTGATGAGAGTAAGTATCGAAATTTCCGCAACAGCACGAACGGTACGTTCACAACCTTGCTGACGTGCAGTTAAACATGTAGCAACTGGGAGCTCTCTCAATGGGACCGAACTTCTGTTTGTCGTGACCAAACAGTGGACCGATTAGTGTAAAAACGCAGTTCGAAAGTTTAATACAATTGCTAAGTGATTTGACACCTACTTGTTCCCTTGTGAACGCATTTTTTCAATAGCACTTTGGTGTACCTTTCTCATCAGTACTGGGATCACAAACCGCAACTCTCAAAAATGATCAAAAAACTGTAAAAGAACTGGCATCTGATCGCGAAGATTTGTTCTCCTTGCTAGACAAAGGATTGGGTTGGGTGTTAATGAACAAATTACACTATCTGTTGATGATACATGTCATTTTGCAGTATAAGACCAAATATATTCTTCACCGGATACAAAAATATAGGACGGCAAATGATGAAACCAAACTCACCAAGTTGCTGAAAGATCTCAAGCGCGATAACTATATTGATGACTGCTTGCTCAAGCGTCCAACTCCATGTGACTCAAACCCACACCGCCTCTACGGGCTACCAAAAGTGCACAAGCCTAACGTACCAATGCGGCCGATCAGCGACATATACGGCTGTGCTGTACAAGTAGTTGTCAAGTGGCTTGTTGACATACTCGAACCACTAGGTAAAGAACTATCGGTCCACATTGTGAGTGTTACTTTGCTTTTGTTAAACAGGTAGAAGACCTGAATGTGAGGGGCACGCTGATGCTGTTCTTCGACGTAGAAGCACTCCTTACGAATGTGCCCTTGCTGGAAACTTAACTTCGTTTGCCAGTACCTAAGCGAAAAGAGATCTCTTCACAGCAACTTCTCTTCTTCTAATTTTTCTGTGGGCATAGTTCACGAAATTTTACACTTGATTCAGAAAAGGTCTACAGCATATTCTGAAATGTATACATAGGTAACTGCCTTGTTTTAACATCCACGATTTTCTATTTCAAAGCACCGAATTGATACAGATTAGTTTGTGGTTCTTAACTGAACATTCCGTGTACGGGTGGAACGAAAATTTATTTTCATTGAGTGAAACATGAAGAGCGATTATCTTGTGATAAGTGAAATATCGAAACGGAAATTCCAACGTATACCATATAGCATTCATTTTGGTCTTTAAATCTATATAAAAATGGAGTAGAGAATGATTGGAGTTTAGTTTGCATTCTAGTGTCTGTATATGTACGCGAGATAAATAGAAGGGGAAGTTTATTTGTTTTGTTTGTGACGCACTTGGTTAGCATTTGATAACAGGCTCGGGTGTTTTGATTTGGCTATACACTACGCGGGTATGAACATTATTCGGGATATAGATGAAGATGGAGCATACAGAATCGATTGGCACTTGTTAAGAGTGAAAACAAAACTTGCAAGAAGAGGTTTTTCTACGGTAACTGCCATTGTTGAAGTTGGTAGCAGACATGGCAACAACCAATTTTCCACAAATATGCTAAAGTTACGCAGTGTCCGCGCATCGTCCCACGTGCATACGTGGCCAGTTTTAACAATCACTGTTAGGGAAATTTGAGTCCATTGCTTCATCGGACTAACTGGAAATAACAAGCCAAGCCGATGTGTAACGGTAACTGCAAATACGTTTTACAAATCAGCTTTCTTATGGTCTAACCACTTAGTATCTTTCGACAAACGTTGAACTACGATATCCTAATCAGAAACGGAGAAGACCTTGTTACTTAGGCTGTGTTGTTAATCACGTTGCGTTGAGCACCACTCTCAGATCCGAAGCTCAGTAATGCAATGGTCTGCATTTTCTACTTTGTCGTAAGGGTACGAATAACATGTACTTAATCCACCGTTTTATCTTGTTTATACTACAGCATCATGGAACTACAAATTGATGAGCTTGACAAAGACTTCTTTGAAACACTTCGTGTGGGCTACTTCCTCATTCCTCAGGGACCAGCTGACGTCGTCATTGCAAAGGACGCTGATACTCGTAAGTGGCTACATTAAAACTTAGCTACAATGTCAAAATAGTACTTTACAGAAATAAATCACCTCAATTAATTATTAGCTGCACGGCTGGTAACACTGCATATCAGCAGTACCTCTAGTGTTTTCCTCTTTTCTACCACGAAACCTGATATGTTGGCTGCTGGTTCGCTAGGTTATAAATGAGAAATTTAACATCTTATTTTATACCATATTCCAAATACTAATTCCATCGCTCTGTAGGTCGAATGCCTATACTGTGCCAGTCAAATACAAGGTATTTTAAGTGATATCATTTAACGACAAAAAGAAAAATCCACCTTTTTCAACCATTCAATCTTAAAAAATGCTTCGCCTACCTAAAAACAAAGGAGCAGTTTACTTAGATTGACTAGTTGGGCCATTGGCAAATAAGAGTTGTGGCAATCTGCAGAGGCCCAGTAATTTTGTTACGGTTGTGTCACTTGACAGCAACAGTAATAAACAAGCCATTTATGTACCTAAGTAAACTTGGATTCAGCACTCGAAGCCCAGTACCAGAAAAAGTTTTCGTAGTAATCAACAAGTCCGTATGGTTGGCAGCAACCAATTCCGCATTTGCCTGTCACTGAGACGGTGAACATGCACAGGACGCCTGCGCCTACAGCTGGACCTTGACTAGATTGCGCCGCTCTACGCACCTGCCCCTTATGCAGTGTAAATCCGAGGTAATGAGACTGCATGTCATGTAGATTGAAACCAGGATTGATTCTGAGCAGGCCAACAGTCCTTCAAATTGCGCATTTTTCGTATGAACTTAAGAAACATAAATACCAGACATAAACAGAAAAGTGGGTGGGCTGTAACCCGTTCTACTATAGCTGGAACTACTCTGACCGAGCATCGTTATGAAGACTGTGCACTCCGTCTCACCCATCAATTACCAATTCTCTCCTAGAGCCTGCATAATCAAGGTAGCCGCTTTCTACAAGTATGCATGTCAACACTCGCATCAATCGCAGCCAGACCGTGGATATAAATCAAAAAATCCCCAAAATGCGCGCAAATGAAAATACAGGGACACCTATAGACTAACTGCTGTGATGATCTAGCAGAAGTGCCCCAACGACCGCATTATTTACGTAGGTTACTAAATAGGATCGACAGTAAACTCTGAGGCTTACCTACTCAACTTACTCGTGGACTCTTCGATAGCAGTCCCTCTTGGCCACGTTGACGGTTCAACAGACCGGCATGGCAGAGGCACACTCGACCGCAGGTTCTACAGCACAATGTGCTTGACGTTGATTGGTTACCTTCCATCGGTGCCGGTCACTCCAGTAAATGGCTTTTCTCCTCTTGTCGCCTGGGCAAGGGTATTCGTGATAGGGTCACGCTAATGAAGCGATCCACAGCCTTTGGTTTCTAATACCAAAAATCAGCATTAGTTCTTGCTAAACTTTCCATAGTCATGTCCTAGTAACGTAGTTTCAGTTTAACCACTTTCTACCTCACTGTACTAAGCTGGCCATACATCAAGTGTTTCGGTATTCTTGTCGAATCCATCCGGCGGATATGTTCGACCACCTTAGTTGTCGCAATAAAATAAGACAAAACGGCCTTCTATCGCTTTCGTGAAAGTGTGGCGGCTGTATGTGCGATGAATGTTCTCAAAGATTTATTCATTACTTACGTGCCACTCCGGCGAAGCACATTGCCAGGAATTCTATCACCCCACCGAATGCGCGAAAACCGAATCATGCAATGATGGGGCAATACTTTCAGACAGCAGTTATCTTTCTTTCACGGGGGCCATGCTCCGCTGCCGTGAGGGAGATCGACAGCATCACTGATTTGCATACCTTCCTTTTCATTCCATAAATCAGCTAAGGTTTGACGGTTGTATGTTCATGGAGTTTTGCAGTTTACTTGCAGAAGTTTCAGCCCCACTGGAGGTGACATAAGCAGTGCATCGGTGAGCGGGATGCATTATCGTCGCATGTAGTGTCGCATGTAGCGTTTTACTTGCTAAGCAACAATGTTCTAACGACGTCAGCTCGATTGTTGATGAAGCGTCCGTAACGAAATTGCGAAGCTCAGTGAACAGTGCAACCGCAACATGAAAAACCTGAGCTACCAGTTTTTGTTTCCATATCCAGCTTTGGTTTCAATGATACCCGGTGTTTCAGTTTGCTGAACGCAAATTCGCCGTCGATAGGTGGGTGCGCAGCTCACTGATCATCTGCAAGTCTGTTGACATTTGCTACTGGGACAGCAAAATGTTCCTGAGTTTTCCAAAACTTTACCAGAAAGTCTGATTTGCAGACAGCCCAAGGATTCCACTAATGGTGAGGATTGAAAAAGACAGACAGCCTTATGTGTATTAATGGTTAGTGTGAACTTTGACGATGTTGAGGTGACAGCCGTCATCATGCGATGCAACTCATTCTCGTCTTGTGCAAACAATGCGCAGTTGTAGGCAATTGACGGCATCCAGATGTTTGTCTCACACACTCGAGTTCTCGCACCGAAACGACTGCTGTTCTGCAACCCATCATCAATATGGCACTGGAGCCGGACACTGACCGAAAACAGAACACCATTTTAGTTAGGTAAATACGAAACAGGTTGCAGGCTAAGACGCATTCATGCTTCACACCAGAGACAACACAATCAGCCGATGTTTGTCCACACAGCTGCACCCTTATCTGCATGCGACTATACAGGCCGTAAATAAGATTAACCAAGTTACATGGGCAAGTAAACTTGTCTAACACAAAACACAGTGTTTCAATATCCGCCGCTTCAAATGTCTTGCTGGAGTCTACAAATAGAGATTGCAATATCCGTCGTCGATCTCAGTATTTCTTCTGCAAATGGAGAGCAGAAGACACCATATCTATGCTGCAGCCGCCAGAACAGGATCCACATTGCTCCTTCGCCACTTCCGGTTCAAGGGCCTGAGTTAGGAGGCGGCTTGACTGGATTCGAGCAATTGCCTCTACAACGTCACTTAGTAAGTTGCTGACAATACAATGGTTGGCACATTGCTTGCTTCCTTTGTCCTTGAACGTTGGTAGCAATATGGCAAACTTTAACCTAGCTGACACCTGTTCTCCAAACCCCCCGCGTTCCACCAAGTGGAGCAGCTCATGTATCAGCGCCACTCCAACATGGCAGAATCCCAAAAACTCCCGCGGTGGCAGTTTCGCAGTTGTGTAAAAGATCTAAGCCGCGGCAAGATTCTTCACCTTTCCTTTTAGCAGCCCATGCAACATATCCTACTTAGTATCTTAATGGCTGTTCAAGAGCTGGTCAAAGTTTTGCCAACGTATCTGCGTGATGTAGGTAGCAATTGTGAAAGAAGCGTTAGCAACGGCGTCCCCCAGCGTTAATCAACGGCCTTAACTGAGTCAGATAACTTATTTTGACATCTTTTGGCGTAATATGCCAACTTCCTTGCCTTCTTTGTGCGACAAAACTCTGGGGCCTATCTCTGACCCAAAATTCGAAACTTACGCTCTTTCCCAGTGCCGCCACGGTTCTCCGAATACGTGCTAAAAGCGCTGTTCTTCTCTAACACCGTTGCGCGTATGGTCGCGCCGTTGTTATCAAACTAACTGGATCGCTTACATTTTACGCTCTCAATCGCTTTCTCTTCGGCAGCGATCGCATATTCTTTAGCCTAGTGCCACTGGTCATCGATTGAGGCGATATATTCTTCATCGCCAAGGCGATTAGCCATCGGATTCTCCAGGTCGATGCTATTCCCAACAGTACATACCGAATGAAAAATACATTTACATCTGCCTAGAATTACTGCAAATACTCTGTAACAAGTGCATCGGTTGAAGAGATAAATGTGTTGAACAAATGTGTAATTTCATGACTCTAGCTCCCCTCTTTTTGAATAAACCCAGGAAATTTTAGTACCCCTCCGTACGTATAGGGTGCGTTCTCTGCCAACCTGTTATTCATTTCTTAGCTTCATATAGTGTACGTACCATGCGCACTTGGCACATGTCACATTGGCATGAACTGACACTGTTGAGCTTGGTTACTCCTTGAGTGTGTCCAAGTACCAATATCACTCTTACCCAAAGGAAACTGTGATTATGTCAGACCGTAAGTGACGCATAGTGAAAGCAGGCTGTCGTCGCTCCGCTGCTTCGGTGACTACTGAAATGGTTTTCGACCATTAATCCCAGACAATCTTAGGTGCACTCAGTCATGAGTGTGCAACTAGCATTTTAAAAACAAAAGATAATTCTACGATTAATAATTGTACGGTTTGATTTCATTCGCTTTGACGAATAATGCGAAGCAGAGCCCAAAATAATACGGCGTAAATCTCATTATCAGGTGCTGTCCGCATCCGGAGCCAAAATCATCGCCCATCCCATGAAACCAATCTTATTCATGAGAAGCCAAACTTGAAGATTTACGGAATTGAATGCACACATGGTGCATTCACATAAACAATCCTGACGCAGAAAATGTGACAGCTTACGTAGCTCTGAGAACATAATAGTTACAGTTGTTTCGTGAAAACAAGTTAGCACACCAACTGGAGCTAGCGAAACAATTCTTTTCGAACCACAAGCATCTTTACAGACACATAAATGCACTTCGAAGGTTACAGCGTGGAATCGCGCTACACAGTAAGAGTGGTGTGTATATACACACAACAAAATGCGGACAACACATCATTGCCCAGTACTGGCCTACTTTCCGAGGGGTACTAGTCTCAAATCTTATAATTGCTTCTCTCTCCACACCATCAGTATTATCCAGCATCAAATGCATAGCAAAAGTGGTTCTGAAAAAGCTACTATGCTTGAGTACACACAGCTTTCCTGGAGTGGATAACCTTCGCCCTAAAGCACTGCAGGTAGCAGCCATTCCACTAGTCCAGCCACTTGCGGGATTCTTTCATAGAAGTCCGTCTGATCCTACCAATTACCGTCCAGTATCACTTCCCCCTGCGCTTGCCAAAGCCATGGACGCGATCATCGCTGACGTAATGATGTGCTACCAGGAAAGCGTCGGGGATGCATTATTAGGATGGGTTGGTAACTGATCCGAGAAAAGACGTTAGAGAATACAATCCGAACATCCCTGCCTGGCCCTAATCACGTGGACTGCGACGATCTTTCGAGAGCCATCACCTCCAAAATGTTAACTTTCGCGGATGATGTTAAAAATTGGCCGGCGATCAAGGAAATGGACGACCACAAGTTCCCCCATGTGCGACCTAGATGGGACCTGACATTGACAATGTGGAATTCACTGTCATACAACGTGGTCAAGTGACATGTTGTCCACATCCGCCATAAACACATCTACCTCCACATAATTAGGGCATACGACTTGCAGACAAGCCAGCAGGAACTTGACCTCGGTGTGTAGTTGCAGGACGACTTCGGTTATTCCAGACAGTCGGAATCCGTTTCAAAATTGTTAAGCATCTCGTTGGTGGCTGGCGGATGACATCGAAAATTTGGATTTATTCATCTTCTCTACAATGCTCAATGTCTACGTGAGTTTCCACGTCCAATACGCAATCCAGGCTTGACACGCTTGGCTAAAGCATGACCTTGAAGCGCTCGAAGCACACCATGGTCGAACAACAAAATATGTCAAGAGAGTGTGCAACCTTTCGTACCAGCAGCGATTAAAATTACTCGCAGTGTTCAGTGGACGCTACAGGTGGCTGCGTGGAGATTTCATATTAGTCGACCATAAGTTGTGTACGCCGACTTCGGTGTGTAGTCAGTGAGACACACACAGATAACCATCCATCGCTCCATCGCCTACCTTTCGCCATGACCTTTAGCACTCTGCGCAATGTTAGTTGACGGACAACGATAGCCGGAAACACGTTTTGGCTGTCTGTACTCATCTTGCTCGGTGACGAAATCAACCTCATGTGGTTGCGTATTTCACCAGGTGACGCTTGCACTCAGCTGAGCTTTACACTAATTCACTCGTCTGCTGAGAACTCCATACGTCCTCACCACTAATAAGGGAGAGAAATGCACGCCTCTTAATACGCATTCGCATTTTTCGATTTTCGCTAAACATTGGATGGCTATTGGATAGTAGAAATAACAACCGTAAAATACCGACGTTAACCGTAAGCGTACCACGTTAGGTATATTATCTCGGTAATCGGCCTTCTTCAGTCAGACTAATTGTATATATGTTGAGTCAGAGGCACTTTAGCTAAACCTTTGCCACTGTGGCGGTGGCAGAACGCCACTCTCGCCCTGAAGGATAGTGTACAATGCAGCTCTATGTTTGACCCTACTATCCGGTTGTGAAACCTGACCCCTTATATCAGCCGACATAAAGAAGCCAGTTATTTCTGATCACTCGTGCCTTCGCACTTTGGCTCACATCTGGTGGGAACTCAGAGTAGGTAACGAGCGTATTCGGCGCCTTGTTTACGTACAGGAAAAGCAACTGCACCGCTCAACTCCGTTATTTCACGCACCTGGCTTCAGTGGCTCTGCCACATGTTACTTATGCCAGCGCAGCGGCTTCTGCGATCTGCGTTTTTTGCGCGCCTTGGGTGTGTGGATGGTGGAAGAGGAGAGGTGGTCAAGCAATGATTGGTCGAGATGAATGACGGCCTCGGTTGGAGCGTCTCGGCTTCCTGATTGTGGTCCGAAAGACGATGAACACGTTTGGCTGGATGCACTTTCTACCATTGCTAGGAGCCGACCCCATTGGCGTGCGTGCTGTGTTGTTCTTTGTTCCTTCCCAGCTTTCTTGGCTTCCAAATCCAACCCCGACCACATTTCATGGCATAATATGATCCTGCTTAATACATTTTATGCTACATAATAGCCAGATGGTAGCATTCTAGTACCATGACCGTCTGTTACCGGTAGCTCAGCTGATACACCTCATTTGCATGTCTTTTTCGTTTTCTTTTTTTATATGTTGCGGCTTAGTAGCTGTGGTGTTTATTACTACTAGCTAATGTGTATAATAATGATGAACGATAATATGTTTCGTCGTGCAGCTGAGTGGTTACTTTAAAGTGTTAACGATGTAATTCACTGATTATTATTTGGTTTCTTTATTTTGTATACAGTCCTTTACATTGGGTTATATGCTAGTAAATGATGGCAATATCTATTTCCCCATTTTTCTTTCCCCGATTCGATACGAAACAATACAATGTGCTAGCTTAGGCACACTAACAAATACACCACTTGTGTACATTGACCATATATGACGTAAGACAAGCAGCCGCATTAGACTAAGCTGTAAGTTGAGGGGTATGACTGAATGTACGCACTCTTACTGATGACCGTGATTATAACTAACTTTCCTGTAGATGGCCTTGTAGTTAGACAGTTTTATGATAGTAAAACATATTAACTAAATAAAGTCCAATTACACCTGATAGTTTGATTATTATTTGCATACTGAGTGGTTTCAGTCAGCTTATCAAAAGTTATTCTACGTAGTTTGATGAGTGACATGAAGTGTCCTCCATGGTGTCAATAGAGTGGATGATTATTATTTACCCTACTTGATGACTCTATTTCGCTAAAATTCGGGCATACCGACAAGCGACAGTTGAATTGGATGTTTTATGTTTTTTTAAGTCCTCTGCACAAAAATGGAATTAGCGCAACTGCGATTGCATCAGCTTATTATTATATAGTAGGAGTTCCTGAAGCCCTCACATCATGCAGTGTATATTTTATGCGATTTACCAGAGCAGTGTTTTGTGTGTGGCTCCTGGGGGCATCTAAGTCATCACCGTACATTGTTAGTAGCTTTTGAAACCAAAATTTTGTATTTGGTGAGAAATTAACTGAATACCCTTCCCGATGGGACACTCGAAAAATCACTAGACCTTCACTGTTCTGGACCATTTCCATGGGCCCATTATTCTGCTGTAGCTTCCATGCAAGTTTTTCTTACATAACTCAATTCTTCCTTTACAGCCTGCATAGACGATGTATGGGTGGATTTTCGGGATACATGGAAAAATACAGAATACGATTACCCTTTTGAAAATCCAGTCAAGCCGTCCTATACACGCTATGTTACCTGGTCAACACAAGGTCTAACTTCAACGTGTCCGCCAGGATCACCTCAATGCTTTTCTACCGGGCAAAATGTTTCCGTCTGTGACGCCACAGCAGTTTGTGTGGACGAGTGGAGGGGAGTTCGATGCGAGTGAGTTGTGGCTTTTCATTGGCGCTATTGTTTTAAGCTGGAGGCCTAGAGCAAGTATCATCCAGGATCACAACATAAATAAACGTTCGTTTTTTCCTATCGAGACAGGGGTGTCTTCATAGCTTGTATTCGAAAGAAGTTAAATGTGTTGATATTTTGTTTTTGGTTATTGGTATTAGCTAGATAAATTTTTCATTTGTATATAACGAGACATTTTTATTACCAAAGCAGTGGTCTCTATGCTCCCAAGACACCAGGACGACGAACGCCTGCAAGTCCTATATGCTGAACTAAAGGGTATACGTATTGATGTAAACAGTAATACAATTCAGTGACGCCACTGATTCACGACGTCCATAAAACTAGCGGACACAGGATTGAACTCCGCATTGAAGTAGTTCTGAGCTAGCAGATGGCTCATCTTCGGTTTGTTAGGTGCAGCTGTATTTCACTACGAATAGATTTTCGCTGGCTCCATGAGAAATGCGAACCAGACAGTAAGAGTTATAAAACAATTAGGTGCTTTTTCATACTTAGTCTACATAAATTTTTCCATCTTCACAATCAACTTTTTGTAGCCCGTCACCGCGTTTCGTTGGGCGGCAGGTAGAACAGTAAATTAATCTGTAAGCAAACTTGAAATCAGGCTATGAAGGAACGACGACCAGCGATCCTTTTTGGATGTACTTTGCGAGATAATTTCTCTAGTGAGCTCACGTAGTGATTTAAGACAAACATGTGAATTTGGGATGTTTGGAGTATTTAAATCACTCCAATGGTCAACGAATAAACGCTCAAATGCTTGGCTAATTGTGCAACGCAGAAGCCACTAGAGAAAATACACCGAGAAAAATGTCGGATCTAATAATTAATTCCCCAGTACTGGGTAGCAAATGAAGAACGAAACCTAACCACATCTCTGTTTTAGTATGTGTAACCAATTCTGTGTGGATAGCAATTTTGTTTCGTCACCAGGCTTGCAGAAATGTCACAGAAATGTCAGCTTACTTGCTTTCACACACTGAGTTAGACTTTCGCAGGTACCAACATGCAGATCGAGTACCACGGAATCTCACTGATAAAACCAAATCCCAAAATAAAAGCTTTTTCCAGTCAACTCATTATGCATGCTGTTTGTGTAGTGAAACAAATTTGAGTAATCCTGCAAAATGCCTGCACCTGGATCGTGGCAAGCTGTCGTCAAGCAACATGCGCCGCTATAGCCTCACTTACCCCAGACACGTCACACCTAAGGTGTCTCAGCAAAGGTACACAGTCCACTGCATCAATTCCACCTTGTCGCAACGCTTCCGTGTTAGCAACTCTGTCGCCCCAACTGGTGCGCAAAATCCGTTGAAAACACTGCTAAGGGAACCGCTCGAGATATCGCACATCCCGCCGGTACATCGTCCACGTTTCACAGCCGTATAGAGGAACGGACAGCAGCATGGATTTCTATACCATCAGTTTCGTGCCTATGATAAGTTGATTGTTGTTCCACACCCGGTACTCAAGCTTCCCGAATGCCGCCGCTGCCTTCGACACGGGGATATGCAGCTCACTGTGTAACTGCTGGTCAGTCGACATCACACTCCCAAGGTAGCTGAAGCGGAAGATGGTTTCCAGTATTTCAGCACCAATGCTGATTCGCGGCAATAATGAAGATTGCACCTCCGGTGAAGGCTGCAAGAGACAGATAATTTTGCTTGTGTTGATGGTGAGCCCGAATTTGGCCGCTGTCGAAGCCAGAGCACTAGTCATGTGTTGCGACTCATCCGCGCTGTGTGCAAACAACGCACAGTCGTCAGCAAACAGCAACATACGGATAGTTGTCTCACAGACTAGAGTTTTCGCTTCGAAACGACGGATGTTCAGCAATAAACAAACAATACGGTGCTCCAAACGTACACCGTAAATACAAGCGGTATCCAAAACACAAAACATAATTGCATGAAGATATATATTAAACAGGGCAGGAGCTGAGACACAGCTTTGCTTCACACCAGAGACGACTGCAAAGTCATCCGAGGTCTCTCTCTCCAGCTGCACCATCGCCCGCATACCACTCTGCAAACATTCAATTAAACTTACAAACTTACTAGGGCAACGAAAATTACCCAACACCAGCCACAATGCCTCGCGGTTCACCGTATCAACTGCCTTGGTGCAATCAACAAAAGGCGAGAACAACGCCTGGTGTCGTTCTCTGCACTTCTGCAACTGACGAGCCGCAAACAGCATATCTATATTGCTGCTACAGAACGGAATCCACACTGCTCTTCCGCCACGTTAGGTTCCACAACCTGACTGACGAGGCGGTTAAGCAGGATTCGAGCAATCACCTTGCCACACAACTCAGAAAGTTGATGTCACGATAATTCGTGAAAAATGGCTTGGTACCTTTGCTTTTGTACTGTGTTAGTACAAGGGCTTCCTTCAGCTCAAGAGGCACCTCCTCCTTAATCCATATATGTTGCATCAAGTGTTGCAGTGCGGTCGACAACGCGAGTCCGCCGTGTTTCAATACGTCAGGCGGGATCCCGTCGGCTCCAGCCCACTTGCCGTTTTGCAGTTGAGTAAGTGCTCTCTACGTCTCAACCAGTGTCGGTGTGTCCGCCAGACTCGTCTTCACATCGTGCTGATTGAGACCGTTCAATTTTGGCCAGTCGATCTCTGAACGGTTGTTCAAGAGACAGTCAAAGTTTTTCCGCCAGAGCCGCATTATATCTGCAGTCTGTGTGTAGCCAGCGTTTGAGCTACCTTCGATCAGCGTCCTCAGCGTCTCCAATCTCGGTCCACACACCGCCTTCAAGGAGTCAAATAATTCCTTGTGTTCGCGGAGTCCGGCGTAGCATTCCATCTGCTTCACCTTCTCCGTCCACCTTGCATTGTTAATGTGACGGAGCTCTCGGGTTAGTCTTAGTCGAAGTTTGCGAAACTGACTCTTCTTCCTCAAGTCACTGGGGTCTGCCATATGTGAAGCAAATGCTGCATTCTACTCCAACACCGAGGCGCCAATCGTCGCATTGTTCTCATCAAACTAATCAGGCCGCTTACAGTTTGCCCGCCCGATGATCTTCGCGGCAGCAGCGGTAACTTGGTCGCGAATGTGGTGCCACAGGTCGCCCACTGTGACTATGCAGTCCACATCACACAGGCCTGCAGCCATGGTCTTCTCCAGCTTAATATGTTTCGCCACAGTACCGTGGAAGATAATGTCATTTTACCCAGGTTCAAGGCGGGAGTGCAATACATAGATTTACGAAAATACATGTACCGTTTGGTGCGCACCAATTTGTACTCAGTGCCACACTCAGCTCCACGCATTACACGTGTCATGCGCACTTCACGATGTCGTAGGGTGACATAGTCGAGCAGTTGAGGATGACCACTCCGTGAGTGCGTCTAAGTCCATATATCACTCGCACTCAGTGCAAACCCAGTGTTCGTGATCGTAAGGTCGTGAGTTACACACAATGAGAGCAGGCTGTCAACGTTCGCATGCGCTGAATGCGAACCGATAACATCTGTCCACACCGATGCATCAGGTCCAACGCGCGCGTTGAAATCACGCAGCAGAAACAGTCGGTCGCTCTTCGGCGCAGACCGTATGAGGGAGGATAGCTGAGTGTAGAATTGATCACGCGTGTCATCAGGAAAACACGTGGTCGGACTGTGCTTGCTAATAAAAGTGGCAAACTTACTGCTTCCGAGTCGTAGGCGAACAGTTATCAGTCGCGGGCTGATGCCTGTTGGTTCACCCACGAACTGGCCATGGAGGCGATCGGATATTGCAAATCCGACCCCATGTTCACGTGGTGCTGAGGCGGCGTTGCCCACCCAGTAGATTTTGTAGCCAGCACTTTCTTCATGCTACTTACCTTGCTCAGCGAGCCAAGTTGCACTGAGCACCGCAATATCGATGTTGTAACGCGCCAGCTCCATCACGACTAGTGCATTGCGTCGCTCGTTGCGCTCACTCGAGTTCCGGTCTAGTAGTTTGCGCACGTTCCAGCACCCGATGCTGAGTGCTTTGCGCGCAGACATACGATTGCATTGGTTGGACATCGCACGCGAGATTGTCGTTGTGCTTTGGAGGTTTGATTGAGGGACTCCGTCCGGAGCCTTTGGCTCAATATCCTTACCCACAAGGCAGTGGGGAGCAGATCCAGCTTTGGAATATGATTGCAGCGACAGATTGAGATCTGTTTGACGGCTGTCACCCTTAGCCTTTGAGGTACTGGAACGGTTTACATATGTTTTGCGACCGTAGTAGGATATATCTGCGACCACGGCCAGACGCAGGTGGGTTTTGGCAGGTTTGCACCAATTTTACCAGAGACTGTCTGGCTTGAAGCGGGCAGTAGCTAACCATTGAACTCCCGGAGGTGATCTCTCACCGTCAGAGACAATGTGTGACGCTCGTGCTCTACGTCAATCGAGCCATGAGCTTATAACCCGTAGACCTGTTGTCTCTCATGGCTAGGTTTTACGGGAAGAGGGCCATTGACCACTTTCTATCCTCCCAAGAGGATGGATTAGGATACCGGCAGGGCGTCCACACCTGAGAGGAGAACGACCCGGCTCCTTAGCCAAAACTCTAGATTAAATGTACATACGAAAGGCAGCGCGTCTAGCACATGGTCAGTTCACTGACTCATGCGGATGGGTGTCCTGGATTTTAGCAGGGAGAAGGGCGAAACCCAACTCCTACCCAGCGGTCGCCACGAAGATGCGTCCGGGACATGAGCCAATGGCACAACAGTAGCAGCAGTGGGTAGATCATCTGTCAGGATCTAGCCACCACCAGCCTCAGCTCACCCTAGTCTCCCCCGCGTGCGTTATATACATCTACAATAACTAGCTTACATATAAATATAAATATAAATATAAATATATATATATATGATTTGGCGGCGTCCGTATCCGGATTTGCCTGTCACTGTGACGTCCATGGGGACAGTCACAGGACGCCTGCGCCTACAGAGGGACCATGGGTG